GTGAAGTTAAAGCTTTCTATTGCTTCATCTCCCACCCACAGGGCTGCCCAAACAGGCCATTGTGACCTGGTCCAAGTTAGCCCCTGCCTGCTGCCAGCTTTGTCCCTCCCATCCTTAGTTAGTGGTCCTGTGGGTGAATGCTGCACTCATCGTTGGGCAATGGACGGAGTCAAATGGGCAGACATGTGGATTTATGTGACCTCTGACCCTGGTTCTTTGACCTCCTGGAGTTCAGAGATTGTTTCTTTTCACACACTCTCTTTTGAGTACCACAGCCTCCAGGTGTCCCTGGTACAGGCCTTGGCCACCCACCATCCCTCCACATGGGATGAGGAGGGTCCTGAACTCCTTGGTGCCCTTGAAGGGTCCCCATGAAACAGCTAAAACCTGCAGAGCAAGTGTGCATGCCGGGAGCTGTAAAACACCCACATCAGTGATGCCCTTTGATCCTGACCCCATCACACAGAGAAGGAAGTATGAGGAGGCGGGTATGGCTGCCCCAGGGTCACGTGGCCAGAGGAGGAGCATGGTTCCCACATGCAATTGGGCACCTGACTCCAGAGGGACCCTAAGAATCATCACAATCCTAGCCACTGTATGTTTGTGTGAGGACCAATCCAATTCTTATCTATAAAGAGGTCAGAAGAGTCCCAAGAGCTCATAATGAGAGGTACAATGATGTTGGCCTATACTCTTATTATGTGATTGGCCACTGGCAGGAGGACCAACTGAACTACTGATGGGAGAACCGACTGACCTACTGATAAGAGGACCTACTGAACTACTGATGGAGGACTTACTGAACTACTGCTGTGAACACTGTTTGAACTTGCACATTACCCATGTTCAGCTCTGTTGCCTTTCCAGCCTCCAGGGATGATCTCATCCTCCTCCAACTACTGACGGGAGGACCGACTGAACTACTGATGGGAGAACCAACTGACCTACTGATAAGAGGACCTACTGAACTACTGATGGAGGACTTACTGAACTACTGCTGTGAACACTGTTTGAACTTGCACATTACCCATGTTCAGCTCTGTTGCCTTTCCAGCCTCCAGGGATGATCTCATCCTCCTCTAGGAAGCCCTGCCCACTCTAAACTTCACCAGTGGTGACTCCTGTGCTGTCTTGGCTCCCCTTTGAATCTCAGAGTCTGCTGACCCTGTAACCTGCACACCAGCCCATGACTCCCGCTCATTCCTGTCACTGTGTCACATACAGAGCAGGCAAGGTCTGTGGGAAAATACAGTTTGACATGTTATCCTGATTTAACTGAATTGTTAATCTTGAAAAAAAATAATTTTATCAATTTACCTCTTCTTAAACCACCCTACTTATAATTTTCTTTTCTTTGCCACGCTCCTGTACCTTCTCTTTTTCATGGCTGCCTCCAGAGCACGCAAACCTGCATACACACCTACACATACCTGCATGTCTGCACACACACCTACACACACCTGCCCTCATACCTACACACACCTGCACACACACCGATGCTCACCTGCACACACCTACACACACCTACACATACACCTACGCACATACCTGCCACACACACCCCCACACACCTGCCCACACATCTGCATACACAACCGCACATGCACACACACCTGCCCACTTCCCAGTTTTCACTTTCTTCAACGGCACCATCCTTGTTCCAATTTCCTGGACCAGAAATCATGATTTCTCTTTCTTTCATGCACAGAACGAGCTGTTCAACAGGGAATTCAAATGTTTCTCCTCCAGTCTCTCCCCTGTGTAGCCAGGATGTGATTTTCAGCATGCTCCTGGCTGGCTAGCTGAACCCTGAGGCTCTACTTCCTACCATTTTCCTGGTACCTTCAGACTCTTCCTCCTAAACAATGCCCTTGCTTCCTCCTGTCCCCTCTGAACACACTGCAGATGTTTAGAGCTCTCCCTACCACAGAATGTACCTCCTAGCTGTTCATCTCTCAGTTCATCCCTGGTCAGCATGTCCCAGGGCAATGCCCACTTCCTGGGTTTCTGGAACATTTCATCTATTCTCCTCTCAAATCCTTCCCCTTCTCAAGATCCGGTGGAAATCTCACTTTCTCCATTCATGGTGGGGAGGAGCCTGGGTGCTGACCACTCCTGTGCTGAGTGGTGCAGCCAGGTCATCAAGCAGCTTGGAACTTACCAGCTATCTCCTCGCATTGATCGCCACTGTGTCTGAGACGATGGAAATCCAGACACAGGCACCACATTTCATATCTCTCTCCCTGCAGCTAATGCCAGGTCTCCATCATTGGTTCTCATCCACCTGCCTAAAATGTAGGCTAATTTCACTGAGCTACTTTATAAAGCACCAAAGCTGAATCTAACCAAATCAATGACTGACTTCTTATGCTGACTGCAGGCCTAAGGTTCTCTATGTGCCCATGCATCATGACCAGCTGTCTCCAGCCTCCGGTGCCCACCACTGCTCGTTTTTAAAAATAATTTAGCATCTACGGGAAACCCGTCTGTCCTTCCTCCACCACGTGGGAGACATCACAAGAGCAAACTCCCCCTAGTCCCCCAAGGTCTCCCTGTGAACCAGGTCCTCCTAGGCCATCTTTACCACCCAGGAAGGACTCAAAGAATCTGAGAATGAATCAAAACAAGCCTCGGCTGAAAGGGAAAATAAGACATTTGGGGGCGGAGTAGCTATCTGAATCTGTGCCATAACCTGCATTCTGATGCACTCTGGCTAGCCAA